GTAGATCTTAATAGTCACATATTCACATAGTGCTGCATCAGACACCCCAAAGCAATGTTGTTTGGACAGGGCTTACTTATATTAGCTTGTCATAAGTGTATTTGTTGTATGGCTGAGGCACTGAGTCACTGTAAATAGAGACGATGGGGACAGCACAAATCCTTCTGCTCTAGAATCAAGGGTGACATGTTTGGCTGTATTAACTGAAATTATAGCCTCAAGTAGTGGGACAATATGAGCTAGCTATTTCTCAGCTTGACCAATGCCACAAGCTACAGTGCATGGCTCATCGAATAGCAAACAGTGAGAGCTATGATGTGTTCACTGGCAAATTTTCAGCATCTGCAAGACAGAAATGTACGGTAAGCAGATCACATTACAGGTGTCAAGCACAATGTATATGCAGTTTGTATCAAAATAAACAACAGAGCTCCGATGTACTTGGTAAACACTAAGATGCCAATACATAATACAATATTGTGTTTAGGGCTGCAACAGTGAATTAGAATAACAGTGGCTAATTAACTGCTAAAATAATCATGACTAATTTAATAATAATTATCTGAACTATTCAAGAAGTTGTGTGTGTGTTTTTTTTATTCACACATGTTTGAGTAATCATTTATTATTAGTATGTCTAATTATTTATTATTAGTATGTCCAAAGCTCAAAATGCTCTGTTCCAACTTGTGATGTCATCACTAGTAAAGATTGGCAATTCCAGGGCTGAAATCATCCGAATAATTCTAGTGAAAGTGTATAGTTTAAAAACACTGTCGAACACTTCCTCTAGTACGACATGACATCGCAAGGTGGAGTGTTTTCTGTTTGGGAAAAGAACTCAGTCTAAATGTCTAGGGTTGAGCATTAAACACTTTATCTGCATTCACAATGCTGATTTATTTGGTTAAAAATTTGGCAAAAAAACAATTGCCGACTTTATTAGATGTAGCCAAAGCGTAAACAAAGCTCCTGCGTTCCCCTCACATGACTCCTGCACTCAAAATCAGTGGTAAAAAGACATAGCATTAGCCCAGGGCCCTCTTTGTTTTTGACCATTTCATTCATTATTTAGTGGAAAAAAGGTTTGCAAAGATCAGCATCTTCAGGGCTCCCTTACAAGGCTGAATCCATTACATCATTCTGTCCCTGGAGTTTCTTGACAGTCTCATGCCAACAGTGAGTATGACTGATATTGTACACCATTACCACTGATAGCAATAATGAATTAAAATGCTAGTTGCAAAAATCTGACCTTATAGCGTTAAAGTAGAAAATGCAACTACAAAATCTATATAAACACACAATAGCATATGGTATTAAAAGCTATATTAAGAAGATACTAGGCCTGTCATGATAACACATGTTGAAGTGCAATGTAATGATTCTGAAAGGATTGCATGTCATATACAATAAACGTTAATATTGGAATGTATTTTTGATCTATACCACTTTCACAATAATCTTAAAGCAGGATAATTACAGTAAATCCTTTTCATGAATCGTGTTCATCTGCGAACGATAAGTCGATATAGTAATTATTGTGACAGGCCAGAAGATACATACAAAAAGATCTTGTGTGGACTGTATTATTAAGGGCTTCAATCTTAAAGTTTACTGACTAACTGTTGAACAATGAGTGCTGAAGAAAGTAATGTCTGCCTTTGTAAGTGACACTTTATAAAGTACTGTAAAATATAACTTGCATTGAAGCAAAGAAGATGCAGACATAAAATCACTGATGTCTGCATGTAATGTTTGACAAAACTAGTTTAATTTACTGTCATTCTGACACCACAATGCTAATAAACACTCTTTGTTTAGAGAGATTTTCAGCATTAAATCATATTACTTTCTTTTATTTTTCCATGTGGCCTTATATCTGTGTAATCCCTCTGTCATCCTGGTATGTTCCATAGTGGTCCATGGGCATATTTTAGTCTGTGTGCTCTTATACTTCTGTTGCAGCTCAAGATCATTCTAAAACTAATCCGCAAAGGTTATTTTCTGTCCTGTGTATGTGACTTCTCTTGTACTGATGCTTGCTCATATCAGTATCTAGTTTTGATAGTAGTTTTATTATTAGATTCTGATGTTCAATACTTTTGACAACCCTAACTGTCATATTAGTCATAGATGATATTAAATGTATTTGCTTTCTACAGTTTTTGCTATTTTGTTGGAACAGCACACGTCACAGCTTGAGCAAAACCAAGAAGGTAAGTGTTAACCTTTATTACAGCCCTGAGTACCATATACCAACACATTGTCCTCTAGTATCTCTTTGGGACAGACTTGGGAGCACAGAATGCTTTCCAGGGAAGACTAAAGAGTATTCCAGGTTGTATTTGGCAAGACGTTCAGGTGCAGTTGCACAAAGCGCACACACATTTTCTTCTAGTCAAGGGCTTTCAAGGGTTCGATGTACCCCATAAAAGGCTTCCCCAACCTCAGGGACCTCCCATCTGACAACCGAGTCTATTTCCAAATACACTTTTAGCTTCAGATAACCTTCAAGAATAAACCATTAAAATCACATTTACTCTGCAACAGAGATCAGAGCGTGATATGGGCCTGGGGTGGGAGTTCCCTCTAAGATAAAACAGGCTTTCCCCAAGACCACATAGGGGAGGATGGCAGAGATAGACATGGAAAGAAAAAAAGTAAATCACTGTAAGTAGCAAGCAGATTTTGAATGATTGCAAAGCTGCCATCACTGCTCAGAAATAAATTACATATCGGCAGGATCCTTACATGTGATTTGTGAGACGTGTAACTGCACCTATGGACGATGGGCGCTATTAAGTTAGCTGTCCTTGGAAGGCACAAATCACACTGAAGCAATATGGCTGAACACATGATAACATAACTCCAATAGCTCCATGTATTAGATTGCGGCGTAAATAAAACGTTTCTGGGGTATATTTTAAGATCTGTAAAATGAGTTGAAGTACTAGTAGCAGTGAAATTGGTAGTGACTGTATGTGGACAGAGTATATTATTACATTGTTTTGAGTCCCCAACGCACTGAGGACAAAAAGCTCAATAGTATGACTACATCTGATACAATATTACAAATTACAAAATAAATAACAGTTTATATAGTGAAAATGTTTACAAAATTTTAGAACTGGGTTTTGCGAACACAATTGATTTATAAATAACTCACTTTTTCAGCTCAACAAACTCATCCTTAATGCAGTAGTAAGCAGACAGTTAAATCTTATAAGCTATAACTTGTCAATTTATAATGAATTTAATCTATACATTTGTATCAGTGTTCTTATTGCCAAGAGGTCCTGTCACATTAAATTGCTGTATCGATATTCTGAGAGCAACCCTAATTCCTTGACGGAAATTATTAAGTATGTGGTAACAAAATAGTATAGGTGCCAGCAGTAGCAAATAATGAAAGAAGTAGTAGCAGTTTATTCTTGTTGCTTTATTGTTCTTGTTAGTTAAATTGGTTAAAAAAGATCTTTTCCCAGAGCTTTTCCACAGTTTCCTACTAGACATCAGGTGTAAGTTGTCCCTGTCACACACACATACACAGGGCCCATGTTTATGATCCCCTGACATGGAAGATAATCCCGTCCAGCCCTGCCCCGGACCACTCCGTGATGAGAGCAGGATACTGGAGACCCAACGTAAATTACCGCTGATTGGATTTCATCAGGACTGACCTACCTAATGAAACTCAGAGGTAGAAGGAGAGAAGGGGGTGGAGCCTATGGACATGTTATAATTCTACCAGACCTTGACATTGCCATATAATCTGTATCACTATATGTTACCTACAGCAATAACAGGCAATGCTTCGGATGAGTATGCTAAATAAATACATTAGAGCCAAGGTAAATGGCCAATAAAGATGAAAGCAGTGAATGAACCTGCAGCAGACAGGTCATATTGACTTGTAATTTTGCTGCATCACAGAAGAGATGAAAATCCAATGTGAGAGGTATACAGACATACGATACCACTGCTGTACAGAACGCTGCTCTTCCTTCGATACAAGTCCAACGCAAGCTGCTTTCACAACTGAACTATCCAGAAAACGAACAAAACTGCAGAAAATAACATGAGTCACAGAAAGTCTATTTTTAACATAAAACACACACTTAAAAACAAAATCAACTTCAGTAACAGTTGCATACGCAGGGATATCTGGTGCATGTGGGCACCACCAACTGAACTGCTATTCACACAAGCAAAGCAGTAGTCACGTCTGCCAATTATTTTGTCAAAGCAGTGATTTTTAATGTAGCTCCAGCAGAGATCCAAGTACAAACATATCAGCACTCAATCTGTCAGAAAGCCATGTCTGTTACTGTTACCCAACGAAGAGAGATTCCTGAATCAATTTCTTGGAATAACAGCATGACAAAAGGTGATGATGTCAAAGGCTGACGCAAGTACAGTATGTAAGGTTTTTAATCTACGAACCAGGATTATAGTTGGGATTAAGATTTGAATATGCAGCACTGTGCAAAACTTTTAAGTGAGGTGAGATGAGTTGTTTGTATGACTCAGTCGTTTACGTGTTTTCTTATTGTTTCAAAATGTGCATATTTTAGAGGCTAACGTCACAATCTAAAAGAATATAAAAACGCAAAAACATCAATACCATTTATATTTTTGCTCTCTGTTATTACATTATATTGTGATTTCTGAGGTACTGCATCCAAATAATTTCCCTTGTGGATCAATAAAGTTTGTCTAAAGTCTAAAATTCTTTGTTGGCATTTTTGATTCAATTTGATTTGATTCAAGCATTTACCCTTGAACTAAATAAGACAGGGAGGTCTGTCTTCACCATTTTGAGATAGGACCAGTGCTGTGAATAGGTCCATACTCTTCTTTTGTGCAGTGTAACACCTGTTGTTGTTTATATCCATAAAAACAATCTTTTCATTTGCTCAGTACTGTTGTTATCAAGATGTGTTGTCGTAACATGATCGGGAGGATGGTGTGATGACACTTTCTATCGCTGCACTCACCTTAGCAGCCACAGAGGAGTTGGGTTTCTCCAGGAGATCCCAGAGTTTCTTCCTCTTGTCCGGGCAGCAGGTGTTATCAAACTCCCCCTCTCCTTCTCTATCCCGCATCGTCTCTGCTTCCCTCCTCAGCTCCTCATTCATCTGCTCCTTCTTCTGGTGGTACCTCGCCTGGCAACACGACTCCAGGTAGATCTCATCAATGCCCCAGTAGTCCAACTCTTGACCGAATGACAGGGCGCACATCTCCTCCATCATGTGCAGCTTGCCCGTGCGGTAGAAATTCAAAATTGAGGTGAAGGCTCCTGGATGTCTGTCAAAGAAATATTCATTTTCATTCAGGCTGTAGTCATCGCACACCTCCATTAGGGATTCGTGGGTGTTGCAGTCACGGAGTTTGCCCAGTCTGGTGCGGGGCAAGCGATCCAGGGTCCGCCATAGGACTTCATGGTTGAGCCCCCCCACGTTGAGGCGAACTCTGCGCGATTTTGCCTTGGTTCGGATTATGTCGATAGGCTCCGGGGGTATGGATGGGGTAGTTCTGAGGTTGCTAGGCTTCGGACTCACTCCGCCTGTCTTCTCAGCCATGGTTCACAAATGGGATGGTAGACTTTCAATGGATACAGATGTTGCGATGTTAAGAAAACTCAAGAAGTTATGTCGGATCCACTTTAGGCAAGACCCTCCATGGCTGGAAAAAAAAAAAAAAAAAAAAAAAAACACAGAGAAAAGATTGGAGCGGTGATGACAAATCCAAAATATGCCTCTTATGAAAGCCAGCGCTGTCACCTGTTACTTGGGTATTATTAGAAACACACAAACAGCAGTCACACTACAGTAGCTGCAGTATTGATTGCTTTTATTTCGTTTCTAAAAATGTATTGGGACCCAAATCAATAATTTAGCGTTATCAGTCAATATGGCTGGGTTGCTTTTCACTCTTTCACTCCCCCCAGAGCTCTTGCTTGCTGCTGTGGGAAGGCAATGAACTCACCAAAAGCCTTCTGCAGCTTCCATCGCTCAAAAATACAACAGCATGGAGGTTAATAGGATTTTAAATAACTATTTTTATGCAACTTTGTGCTGTTAAATATTTCATTAACACTGGAATAAATCACAGCATATATTCCATTTAAGCATGTCCAGGTTTACGCAATTATATATATTTTTTCTCACTAAAAACTCAATACACCATACTGGTAGTCTGTTCTGTTGACAGTGCAGAGTTCTTTACACGCAACAGTTTTAATCACGTTTGACACCATCGTTAACTAAAGCCTATAGGCACAATTTTGCTCTGCATTGTTGAAGAAGGCTTTTCGTTTCTCTGCAGTCTTATAAATTAAATTGGAGACATGTTTTAGCATATAAAAGAGCACCTTCTATGTAATTAAGCAACACGGGCAGCGCTGGAGAAGGTTGGGACCTGCTTTAAATCTTTCCAAAGTAGTAAACACAAATAGTCGCTCTCACCTTGCCGAGATAAACCACGTTGTGCATGCAAACTCTTCTTTTTTCCAAGGGGAGAAGAGATGAAAAGGGAGCCGGAATCCCCCTCTAGTCAAGCGGCCACCGGTGAGTGCAGTCCGTAGACGCGGCGAAAACGTGGGTCCCTCATTTTGTAGTGGAAAAATCTCACGGGATAAAACTGCCGCGAACCGTTTTGTTTATTTCCTCATATATAGTAAAAAGCTTTGAGATGTTTTCCCAACACAAACATTGTCCAAGAGTCCTAGCTTCATCCAAAAAAGAGAACGCGTGAGCGCAGAGGTCTGTGCTCGCTCGCTGTATCGCTGTGGATCTGCAGACGTCGTGCGCGTAAAGGCAACGGCAAGGAACGGGATAAGCAAACTGCAGAGTGTCCCGTTGTACACTAGGCGAGGAGGAGCAGAGGGGCGCGCAAGGGCTGCACCACTTCCCATCATCCCTCAAATACAGCGCTCAAGCCAAACACACGAGGACTACAGCTGCAACACGTCTCCACAGCAAAGTTGTCACGGACGCACAAACACGCAAAATAGTTAACCAATGCTACCAAAGAATTCATGGCAACAGTTACGAGTGCCATAGCGGAATGTATGAACAGAAGCTCATACTGGGCAATGTTTGTCATTATATTGTTAGGGGTGCAACGATTAATCGGGCTAATCGTGACTATATAGTATTATTGGCAACTATAGTCGACTATTAATGTAAATACAGAACCCAAAACACACACCATAAAGAAATTGTAGAAGAAAGACAGCGGCATAAGGCTAATAAATCAGTGTCAAAAAATAATAAGCAATTTCAGATTTTCATCAATAATACAGTTTATTCATAATTGTTCTCTATCTCTAAGCCTTTCTGCCGCAATATTTTATCATTTGGTAAATATTTCTCAATCTCAATGTACAACAAAAATGAGGCTGACTAAACAGTTACTACTTGATTTGGTTATTAGGGTTTTAGACAGCATAATCTAAAACTAAGAAATCTATCATTTTGTTTGATACACATTTCATTGAGAACATGGCCATCAACACAAGGTCATTTTAATATAATATAACTGAGGTTCTATCATTCACCATCATGTATTATCAAATATTCAAAAGACTGTAAACCAGTGAATCTATTTGTTTTTTCTAGTATAAGAACATTTTATGTCCTCATTAAGGTGTTAAGTTTACAAACAAAAGGTGTTCTCTTTCCTCTGAGCCATTACCTCACCTTTACAGTGACTAACACTTCTCATAAGTGAAATAACCTCAAACATTTGAGACGTGGCTCTGAGCTAAGTAACTCTACCCCAACAAGACAACTAGTCGTCATGACCCCTTTGAGTGACCTGCTGACCGCGCTGTCAACACCAAAAGCCACTGTAAAATCCACCCACACCCACCTTCACCTCTCACATCACCAGCTTTATCTATTAGTCATCAAGAAGTAATGATTTCATCCTCTGCCTGCTCCTAAATGAATAAATAGATATTAAATTATGCATCATTATTATCCATCAGACCCTCTTCCCAGTTCATATGGATAGGGATTCGATACACCAATGATATTTCCCCTCACAGCTTGGCATTTTTCCCTTAGCCAAGCGTTTTCTGCAGAAATTTGATTATACACTGCATACGTGTAATTGATTCCTCTGGCATGTTCCTTCCTTCCAGTGACAAGTGATCAATAATGGTGCATTGACTAAACGGAGCTGTGCATGTGAGTATACAGTGTGCATGTGAGTATACAGTGACTTCAGTGTGTGGTGGGTCTTCCTGAAGGTCAAAAGCTTTACTTGGTCCCACCCGTCAAAACTGGATATGCTATCAAGATGGGATTACGAGACACTTTGGACAAGCTCAATGCAATTACAAGGACGAGGAATTGAGTAATAATTGATTTTTATGTCAAAAAGCTCCCAGGGTGGTCAAAACGCTAACTGATGAAAAGTGACATCATAGATAACGAGATTTGATTGGTTGAAATCTGTGGGAGGAGCCAAACCAACAAGGGCCAATATGCATGTTTGATATGACATAGAAGTTAACATGGTAAGACAGGTCGAACACATGGCTGCCGGGTAACTTAGCTGGAGGGTGATCTTATTGTACATGTCAATGGGGAAAACTATAGAATCAGGAAGAAACTCGCTCAGACACAAGGAGAACATGCAAACTCCACACATACATCGTACCGGGGAATCAAACCTAGAGCCTTCTTATTGTGACATAAAGGGCTATAGTCACTCAGCCACTTTATTGAGGGAATAAAATGTGAAAATGGTAACTGGTAACACATAACAGTTCATCAGATTTTTTATTTATTTATTTTTTAAACCAAATAAAATAGGACTAGTTGCAGGTAGAATGTGTAGCCAAGACTGTTTTAAAATTGTAGTAGTATAGTAGCATCACTCTAATAGCAAGAGACAGTGGCTTTGAAGAATTTTCCTCATGCCTTTATTGACACATGTAAATGAAAGCCCTAATGGCTCCATATTAAGCGATGACCCATTATTAATTACTTGGGATAGAGCAAAATGATTAAGGGCAATTGACAGTGTTCCTGCTCATTATTGTCAAAGAGGCAGCCCATCAGTGAAGGGTATGAGTGAGCTAGCACTGACAGTACTGCAAAAATAATAGACGAGTTGTTCTCAAAGCCTCTAAGAATTTAATTTACCTTTACAGAGTAAAATATGTCTAATCAAGAACTATAAGCAGATGAGTAAAATCCACTTGTGTTACTTCAACTGGTCATTGCAAACATGATAATCCTATAATAGTATAAAGGACGTTCGCAGGCATGAGGCTGTGATTCCTGTGTACGATGTGGGCATGTGCTGCTGCGTGGGTTGTCGTCATGGCAACCCCAAATTGTAGCATCATGCTGAAGAAACACTTTGGGCCACGGAGGCAGAGACGCACAGCTAGAATTAGAAGAAGCACATTTTAGAACATGTACTCCAGCCGTAAGGGGGCACAGGTCAATGTAGTTCTAGCTGTGCTATTTTAAACCCTAAAAATTTTGATCTGCAATCAGTGTTGAAACTTATTCCAAGCAGTATTCATATAATGCACATAAAAGTGCATTGTGTAACTTTTCTGGTGGACGGTGCATCAAATGCTTTTCTCCATGAAGATGTTATTACTTTGTCTGGCATGTTTCACAGTATGATATTACACCTTTCTATCTTCATGGAAACCAAACCAGACCGAGTTGTAGGTTAGATCTTCTTCTAGGCAAAGCAATGACATATAGAATCAAGCAACTGACAGACCACCAACCAAAAAATTACATAGAGCACCTTGACAACAGTGTGGATTCCCATCAGTACGCATACAGGGAGAATCGGACGCTGTTGCATCCGTTGTCCACCAGGCCCTCACCCACCTGGAGAAGAGGGACACATATGTTCGACTTCTCTTCCTGGACTTTAGGTCAGCAGTCAATCTATCAATCAATCAAACTTTATTTGTATAGCACTTTTCATACATTTGAAAAGTGTTTCATCCCCCGTGTTTCATCCATATATAAATAAATTAAACAGAAACATAAAACATAAACATAAAGCTCCTAAAGGTTAAAGTAAGAATAAAAATGGAGAGCTAAGATCAGATGGAGACTAAGTAAAATAGTAATGTTAAAACAAATATAGTAATAACAACCATAATAATAATTTAAAACAAGTTAAAACAAGTAAAAGTTTCAATTAAAAGCTAAAAGATAAGTTTGAGTTTACTTTTAAAAATATGAACACTTGCAGCGGACCTCAGATCCTCAGGTAGACTGTTCCACAAACGGGGGCCATAAAAGCTAAAAGACACCTCACAGTGAGTTTTAGTTTGAACTTTTGGGACAGTTAATAGGTGACTACCTGAGGACCTGAGAGTCCGAGAGGGCTCATATGATAAAAGCAGATCAGATAAATAAATAGGACTAAGACTGTTAAGAGCTTTATAAACCAATAAAAGAACTTTAAAATCTATCCTGAAACTCACAGGAAGCCAGTGCAGTGCTCTCTTCCTGGTCCTTGTCAGCAGCTGTGCTGCAGAGTCAACACCATCATGCCACAGACCCTGGCAAACAAACTGGAACTGCTTGGA